AGCTCTAGGCGGTTCAAACGTTTGTCTGAGCCGCGACTTGAAGACTTTTAACGACCCGAACGCATGTGGGTCGTGCAACTTGAGTCCCAAAGCCCAAGTCTTGGCACGTCCTGCCAGATTTGACTGGGCAAATGCAACTTGCATATCCCCGTCGTCGATGCGACGCGCCCTTATGGCGTCATCCAATTCGACGAACCATCTCAATAGGGAGCCTTCTTCGACTCCCCTGTACTTGGAGATGTCACACTTCAAGGTCTCGGGTCGACGCGAGTGCATCGACCCACCAGCAGCAGCCTGCTGCTGTCTCAACAGTTCAAACTGTTGAGCACCTTGTTCTCTCAACAACTCTGCTTGTTGAGAGCCTTGTTGGTGAAGCAAGGCTACTTTCTCGCGTTCAGCGTCAAGTTCATTTTGAATGAACTTGGCGATAGTAGCATGTTGGGCATCTCTATTGAGAGCCTCTAGCATGACGCTAACAGCATGGATGCCCATGGTTGAACCCATTCGTTCAACCGCATCCCATTCGACATCGCTCAAATGGGAGTAGCCGTCACGCGTAGCGTGAAAGCTTTGGTCATCTTCATCATCCAACATATTCATGTTGGATGTGAACGCGGTCCTTGGACGGACTACGAAGTGCTACCATGTGTAACGGGGCACCCTGAAGCTTGTACTGGTGACAGTACAAGCTACTTATTCCGATGACAGAATAAGGCGGTGCCTCGGAACTTCACGTACACTCGTACGTGCAGAGGAAGACGGTAAGAAGAAGCGAGTACTTGGTTAAAGTAAAAAGTAGAACTGTATTTATAATAGTTAATGTCTGCAATAAATCACTATTTATCTTCATCTAACTATGTCTGAATACAAATGTGCATATCAACTATCTGCTCACCACTCATTGCGTTCGTCTGTCGTGGCGCGTCTTTGTTGGTTGATATAATGACCTACATCAACCAATTAGGAACTACTCGTAAGTGCTGCAGAATGTTTGTCCTTACGACAGTATTTTGAGAACATAGCTCTTTTAGTTATATTCAAATAACAATTTCTTATAAATTGTTATGTAACGATTCACCCCGTTACAGTCGTCGTCTACTGGTCGATGCAGCATGGTGCAAACCAAGAGTGTTGAATGGGGTTGTCGTTGTTAGTCAAATGTAATGTTCCACAATTTGATCCAACGTGTTGACTTAAATGCAACTCAAAAGTGATGAAACGCAACAATTTGGCGGTTTGCACTTGTACTCGGCATCTGCGTTCCGCACAAACAACAATCACGTACGCTTCTTTTCGCATCGAGCAACTTCCAAAGATTTCAAATATGCCACTTAATTTGACCAGAAGCTTTTAAGCATGACACTTCGATCACCTTTGGTAGCACAGTGCACTCATGATCTACTGGGGATGGGGAGGTTGTCCTATCTTCGTAAGTCTGACGCAACAGGTATCGAGACTGAGCCAGCATTGCTACTATAGTTAGAGACTTCTTCCAGGTATTGACTGTAGGATCATGCGATGTACTGTAGAATTGCATCTGTGTGGGTTAAACTTTACATCTGTACTATATTTGCTAATTTCGTTTGCTTGGACTATCTACTCGACCTTTCAGCGTGCGCAAAGTGCCACCTTACATTGCACCGACATCACACATAAGCTTCATATATTCGCTCGCGTGTTCTTGCCCACGTTGTCAACTGCATCCATCACTCTACGCAGTTGTTACGCCAAAATACGCTAGATATAATTTGATACTAGTAGCGATCTTGCGTAGACTTCACGTTGTTTTGTTAAACCCGGATCAAGTACTAACGACTTTATCGCATCCAAACAAATTCAATGATGTGCCGCACAACTCAAGCTTCACTTCACTGTAAAAACGACAGATTCTCTGTGTATCGGCAACTGTTTTCTCGACAGTAACTGATCCAACTTAAATCACTCCGATGGGCGAGGCTAGTCCGTACTTTAAATTTTGCTATTCCGTACTGCAAATGATTTCAAACGTTTTTACGAGCAGCTAATTAGCTTAATGGTTAAATTTAATCAGAATTTTGCCACATAAAGAAGGTCAGAGGTGTGAAGATAAAAGAGCTTCCAATCACTGACTCAGTTCCCTGTATGTCACCCTTTACACTTGGTTTTTAAGCCTCGCATAGTGTAGCTGACCACACCACATTCATTTGTTATCGTCCATCAGTTCAAAATGCTGACAAACGGTACAGGCAGTACGCGCGCTGACCTGGAGCATACTGTACAAGGCGACATTCCGTCTACAATGAGATTACCGATTAGCAGATACAAGTGTCTACTGGCCCCTCCAGCCAAACATTCAGCCGCAAAAATGGAGATACCCATGTCAATGATTTCATGACAAAATCTGTGAGAAGATTTATGGTGGAGGGGAAAGCTTGATCTTGATAACGACCACCCGCAAATAAGACCAAAATGTAGCAAAATTCTATCAACATGTCGCTGTGATGATGTTGATGGTGTAGTTCAGGTAGTGCTTAACCGTCGTGCTACCCACTGAAAGCGGTGCATTCCGTAGGGGTCAACACGCGAATTCTATTTGCACGTTAATGTTCCCCTCGTCTCCTCATCATTTACCGGATCTCTAGGACGGTTGCCTAACACAAGCTAGACGAGGATCGAGAGTAAATAGTGCTGTGAAGTGACGTCAAATAGCCATCGGTAATGGTCCGGGATGGTAGCAGCAGGCGGGTTAAAACTAGCAGATAGCAGAACCATGACGTTGATGAGGACGCCCATTACGGCAACGACTTCTCCACTGGACAGCTAGTAGACAAACTGCTGGCACAGGATCGTCTGCATGAGCATGGAGAGGGATATGATGAGCCAGTAGAACAGCCGTGCTGAAGGTTCGGATGCCGAGGAGAGGGCAGAAGACAATGGTGAAGAGGAGACTGCTATTAAAGACGTTGGGTATCTTGACGAACGAGATGCCAAGGAAGTGCCAGACAGTTTTTTCCGTAACGAGGTAGCCCGTTCCATGATATTGACATTAAACGGTGTCAATATGGACAAAATCTGGCGTGGCAATTCCCTGCCAATATTATCCGAGATGGAAAACATTGAAGGAATATTATCCCCTTAAAGGATAGTATTCATGCGCTGCTCAAAGCAGAGATTCGTTGATAAAAGACATATCAACCAAGGTTACTACCAATCGCTACTAGACGCGCGTAATGAGTGGTGAGCAGGTTGTCGTCGCGCGACAATGTAGATTGATATAGTTTGATGAATAATGAAGTGATATTGATAGCTTAGCTGTATTGAATAGAGTTCTCTTTTTGCCTTTGCTCAAAATAGCTGTTTGAGTAGATTAGCTTCCTCTTCACGTATTATTGTACGTGAAGTTTTGCACACCCCAGACAAAGTTTGCCTCGTTACACCTGGTAGCACTTCGTAGTCTGTCTAACGACTACATAGGGGTCCGTATAACATGAACATGTTGAACGTAGAATACGACAGCTTTCACGTCACATGTATAGGCTTCTCCCATCTAAGAGACTCAAATTGGGAGGTAGTAGGTCGCATGAGTGTTCTCATGGGCGAACCCGCATCAGTGGCATGTTGGATTCTCTATACAGAGTCCAGCAACATCATGCTATTAACTAGTTCCTACAAGGGGGACTTGTCGTCGAAAGACAGAAAATAGCCTTGCTACAACTGCAAGGCTCTCATCAGTCGATGGGCGGGCCGACGCACCTGTGTCGACCCGAAACCTTGAAGATTGATATCTCAAGGTACAGGGAACCAACGAAGATTCCCTTTTGAGATGGTTCGTCGAGTTAGACGATGCCATCAGAGCCCGTCACATCGAGGGTTACGAGATGCAAGTCACCTTCGCCCTGTCAAATTTGACGGGACGAGCAAAGACTTGGGCCTATGGATCAAGCTTCACGACCCAAACGTGTTCGAGTTGTTGGAGATCCTAAAGTCTCGACTCAAAGAGACGTTTGATCCGCCAAGAGCCGATTTCAGAGCACGCTCTGCACTCTTGAGGCTAAAGCAGGGTAAGCGTGATGTGGACGCTTACGCACAGCACCTCCGCTACCTTGCAATAAGCGTTACAAAAACCCTGTTGATGAGCATACGCTCATCAACGTGTTCATCTACGGCCTTGTAGATGGGCCGGTGAAGACCCACATGCTCCAAGAGGACTTCCACACGCCGGAAAAAGCGATAGCGTATGTGGAACAAGAAGACTTCAGCCTGAGACAGTGTTAAACTAACTCGTCAAACTACCGTCCGAAGATGCGACAGTAAACAGGAGGTCCTGAGCCTACGAACCTCTGTTAATCGAGAGCAAGAACTTTCGCTCTCTGATTCACAAGCAAACGGCAAGATGCCATCGCTTTCAGATGATTGGGCACTACGATCATGAGTGTAGTGTCCCGAGCACTGCATCACGTCCAAATAAAGGACGTGATGACCGCCGTTGGCCAAACAAATGTCCAAGGCGCTACCTTGGACCACCAAAAACGGTCAGAGTCAGTAGGGGCGGAGCACCCTGATGATACAGCAACGTCTAGATAATGTACAGGACGCTTGACGAAGATGGCTCCCAACACACAGTCGATGTGTGCTACTGCCTCTAGTGATCAGGTGTCTCTCATAACTTTGAAGATCGAAGTGAAAAGCTGAATGTCACTTCGCGCCCTAATTGACTGCGGTGCGTCGAACAGTTTTATTCGACACCATTCGCTAGAGGATCGCAGACTATACGATGTTGAGCGAGAGATCCCTACAACGAGGAGGACAGTGTGCCTTGAAACAGGCGCATCCGTAACAGTGAACAAACGTGTAGTGGGAATCCACTACACGCTAGAAGGAAAGCAATGCGATGATGTCTTCATCGTACTGGATCTGGATGACAAATTTTACATTATCCTTGGTCTGCCACAACTTAGAAGAGACGAGTCATAGATTAGCTAACAGCATCTATCCGTGAAGATGCCTGCAGTTTGTTCATCGGATGGCAATCTGATGAACGTCTTGGAGCGTCCACAAGCGTATGGATGTACTACGAGTGAGTGCAAAGGTCTCACTTGTGGTGCGGTTGTAAGAACGACTGCACAAGATCACAGTGTAGATGGCCACTGCACTGTGGAATCAGCTTCCGGTACCTGTGTAGAGACACAGGCTGCGCCGAAGGTTCACCACTCGAAGAGATCGAGTGGACTGGAACACGGATGCACACCAAGAAGGGTGCATCCGAGAAGAGATATTAATGTTGTTTAGGATTAACAACACGCTGAAGTAAGATCAACCAACAAAGGGTCGATCGTAGAGCAAGCCCGATCGACCGAAAGAGATTCGATCGAAGAGGGCATGACTGTGGTAGTACACCCACAGTAAGTACACGTATTTTGAAGAAAGTGTAGCGTTCCTGAGAGTGATAACTCCTGACAGAGTTACGTTGTGGGTGTGGATCCCCAATCACCTGCGGATGTGTTTTCAAAGGAAAGCACCGAGACATTGAATGTCTTGATGAATGACTGATCAAGTGTAGGCGCTTATGCACTTGATCTGGTGACGGCCCCGAAGTCAGCTTCGGAGTCAATCAAGTTGCCAACGCTAGAATCTAAAAAAATCTTTCGAGATCTGCGTATTGACAAGATCAAGCATATCTACATACTCGTCACAGAGGACGAGTACGTCGCCGATATTAGGTCGGCACAAGTGTTTGCTGAGAACAAACGGGTTCTCAGTAGCTCATCGATGAAAGAGAGTGCCCTCGATGAGAAGACTTGGATTGAGCGATACGCGTCTCAATCTTGGGAGTCTATTAAGACAAACGCTTTGTATAAGGATTTGGTTGAACTCAGGGATGTTTTCCCGGAATCCGTGCCATGCAAGCTGCCCAAAGACAAAGTCACTCGACATGAGATCGAACTGAAGCCCTGTTCGAAATACTGTGTCATGAAGCAGTGCCCACTGCCTCGTGAGCAAGTCACAGCGATCGACAATTTCTTTGCCGCTCGTTTAGCGGCTGGTCATGTGAGGGAAACAACATCCCCACACAGCTCTCTGACCTTCTGTGTGCGCAAGACCACAGGATGGTGGCCGATAGTGAACGCGCTCAACAAATTGAATGCTGCAACGGTAACGGCTCAAACGCCGATCCCAAGAAAGGATGTCATCATAGATGGTATGGAAAAGATTACCATCTTTTCGTCACTGGATCGGACGGATGGCTTCAATCAGATCCTCATGCGTGAGCGGGACATCCCGTACACAGCAGTTAGGAATCTCAGTGGTATGCTTTGGGAGTGGCTAGTGATGCCACAGAGGCTAAGTAACGCCCCTGCAACATTTAACAGATGTGTTACGAACCTGTTGCGATCGGTGCGCGAGTTTGCACCGAGTTGCTTTGACGTTGTCTTCGTCCATAGTCGAGCTATGGATGGAAAGACGGACGTGGGGGTTCATAGAGTCCACGTCCGGAAGGTTCTTTCACTTATGCGAAAGTGTTAATTGTTCGCGAACCTCAACAAGTGCATATTCGCAGCGAACGAAACACCTTTTCTTGGCTGCATCGTGGGAAAAAACGGTGTACGCCCTGATTTGGAAAAGATCAAGGCGATCACCGAATGGCCTGTGCCGGTTGATGTCAAAGGACTTCGAAAGTTGCTTGGCTTAGCGGTGTACTTGCACAAGTATTCATGCAATTACGCCGAGATGAACGTACATCTCTCTCGTTTGCTTAAAAAGAACGAGAGTTGGTCATGGAGTGCTGAGTGACAGCACTCCTTCGAAGGTTTTAAGAAAAGCTTGGTGAAATCGCCTGCGTTGGCGATTGCAGATCCGGACAGACCATTTCATGTGGTCTGTGACGCCAGCGATTTTGTATTCGGCTGCGCGTTAATGCAGTACGACTCATACGGAGTTGAGCGCTTCGTCTGTTAAGAATTGCGTCAGCTGCAAGCAGCTGAGCAAAATTATCCGATATATGACAAGGAAATCCTTGCCATGAAATATGCACTGGCCAAGTTTCGGGTATATCTTTTAGGAGATAGTCCCTTCATCGTTTAAACCGACCATGCGTCGTTATTCACGGCCGTTAACAGTCCACACCTCTTGCAACGAATGGCGAGATGGCTGTCTTTCTTCGCGGAGTACAACTTCTCCGTCGAGTATAAACCAGGAAGACTTAATGTCGTCGCTGGTGCTCTTTCGCGTCGGCCCGATTTCGAGCCGACTGCTCAACCCAACAGTAGGGGTGATCCCTCTGTCGCAACACTAACAGTGAGTGTTCTGTCTTCGAATCTGCTCGATGGCGTGCGAAAAGCATACACAGAATTTGAGTCTCTTCTGCGGTTGATGGATTGCGTATGTAATCCGTGTAGTCAAGCTTTGAAAATCTTGTCGTCTCAATACCGCTCTTCAACCGAACTGTGTTATGTACGTGTTGGACTGCTGTACTATACAGCAGTCAACGGCGACACACCTCGTGTCTTCGTTCCGGCTCATAATAATTTGCGATTGCTCACCATATATGAGTGTCACGATGCCACAATAAGCGGACATCGTGGTAGAGAAACGATTTACCTCATGGTGAGTCGTGACTTCTACTGTCCTCGCTAGTATAAGTTTGTGCGGAGATACATTCGCGCTTGCGAAGTTTGTCAACGGGTGAAGCCTTTTTTTTCATCCCGCGCACCCTTGCAGCCTCTTCCGATTCCGGCAGAGTGTTGGCAGTCCGTATCGATGGAATTCGTCTTTGGGTATCCCAAAGACGTTCGCAAGAATACTGGTATTCTGTGATCGTTGATCGGTTCAGCAAGATGGTAAATCTTGTTGCTGTACCAGAGTCAATCACAGCCCAGGCCTGAGCGCGTGTCTTCATCGATACTATCTTCCGAATTCATTGGTTACCTCGTACACTCGTGTCTGACAGAGACCCCCGCTTCACAGCGGAGTTCTGGCAATCCGTATTCCGTTCACTTGGAACACGTTTGACGATGTCAACTTCTGACCATCCCGAAACAGATGGTCAGACGGAACGCGTCAACCGCGTTCTCGAAGAGATACTTCGAGGGTATGTCCACTCGTTTACGTGCTGGAGTGAGTTCTTGCCGATGGCGGAACTCGCCATCTACAACTCGGTGCACGGGTCGACATCCACGTTTACCCGCCTTCTTAGAGTGTGACTCTAGTTTAAGGGGGGGGTGGAATTGCTCGAACAAAAACCGATCTTGTTCTTGCTCATCACCCGTCAACAATGGTGTCGACGTGATGGATGCTGATGTCGATGATATCGATGTCGATGATGACGATGACGACGATGCTGGCATATTCAGCATCGCCAATGACCGCCAAAGGGAGGACGACTAAACCCTCACTGGTGAAGACAACGTTCTTTCAGCAGTGCACACGAAGCGCACTGCTGTTGACAAGGATGAATAAGCAGAGAACTTTCTACTGACTCGCGAAGCGGTTGTCCGCTTCATCAAGACTCTATTGCAGATGCACTAGACGGACAGAAGAGAAACGCAGACAAACACGGAAGAGCAAGTGTTCTTTCATTTGATGAAGGATACCCAGTTTTACTGTCTACAGTAAACTTACCGAAACACGCAGTGACAAACGTGGGCAGCAGTAAATTACTCCCCAGGTACATCGGTCCATTTCGTGCATTGCGCCAAATGGGCGACGCATACACGATTAAACTGCCCCGTAAGACGCGCACACATTCTACGTTATACGTTGGTCGTCTCCGCCCGTACTATCAGTACGAGCCCGTTTCGAGATGCGAAGAACACCTCCACAGTCGAGCGACAAGACCACCTTCGAGTGGTCCCATTATAACGAGCCAGTCTGGTCGACTAGCGAAGCGACCATTTCACGCAGTTCAGCGATGTCTCGACGAGCTACAGCCAACTCATCACGAAGAGAACGAGTCGAACGTTCGTTCTCAAGTTGCGCAAACGCAAAAGCGGCACGATCTCTCAGCGATCGTGCGCTGAAGAATTGTAATTGTCCTTTACAAGATCATGGAGCTCAAAACGCCGACTCCGTTCATGAGCCAGGTCATCTTGCAGCTGTTCCGTTACGCGGTTCCGCTCCTGAACATCAAGATGATCCGACCTTCGAGCCGGATCAAATGTTTTCGTCACAACCACATCTTTTGGTGGACTCAATCGGTGGTCAACGCTTCCTAGTGGAGCGTTGTTCAAACCACCGTGATGTGAATGGCGTCCGGACGAGTTTCCTCGTCCGCTGGCGTGGCTATCCATTGGCGTGGGACAGCTGGGAGGCTCGCGTCTAGCTGATTGTTGATGTCCCAAGTCTCGTCGAGCGATAAAAAGAGACCCGCTGCGTTCGAATAAGGGCCGTCAGAAAACGAACTCCACTTACGCGAGTACAGGGATTGCAAAGTGTCAATCCCTTCGGCCATCTTACCGGAGATTCGCGCCCTCCAGTAGGGATCGCTAGGTAAAGAGGCCTCCCTAGGGACAAAATTCGAGTTTTCCAGACAACTTAGACGCGAATCACCCCATGAAAGACAGGGTAGAGCTGCCTCTCTTGATAGGTGGTGCAACTTACATTGTACACTAACTGGGTTACGATTTTCAAACCTGGCCTCATGGCCAATGCACTCGATGTTATGGATTAAAGCATTCCATCCCTGCACCAAGGCATTAACGTCTCCGCCACGGTTGCCAGTGTACCACCGTTTTTAATAAAAGGATAAAAATTCTAACTAGCACGAATAGTTTCCTTGCTGAAATTAGGGGGACAGATCCTCCTACGGTCGAACAACGGGATTCGATCCCGTTTAGTGGTCATACCGACCACTCAGTCTAACTCCTTGGATGACGGCATCCAAGGAGATTCACATAGGGAGCATGGCGCAGGACATTGCGGTACCTGGCCTCTTGAGTGGTGTCAGCATGAGCACTGACTCAGTAACAGCCCGATTCTCAGAGTTGCTTCAATCGTGGTGACGCATCGATGCGTCGCCACCATAACCACCCAACCTATTGTCAGACGAGCTTGCGTGAGACGAAATTTCGACAGACGAATCGCTCGGTCCAACTATCTCGGACATGATGATCACCCGCTGCTGCAGCAAGAGAAGTACTCTCTTCGGCTGCACGCATGCGTGCAACCGCTTTTCTTGTTGCTACAGTAGCAACTCACTAAATTTTGAAACCACGCGTTGGATCGGCAAATGAATGGAATTTGACCAACAAGTTCCCCCTTTCCCATAGTGATCCAACGGGTCTCACCCTGTACAAATCATTTCTAATCCAATCAACGGGTTATTGATGGTTAAGGGGGTGGTTGGTGTAACGGGGTAGCCCGTTCCATGATATTGACACCAAACGGTGTCAATTGGAATATTGTCTAGTGTGACAATATTATACCAATATTATCCGAGATGGAAAACATTGAAGGAATGTTATCCCCTTGAAGGATAGTATTCATGCGCTGCTCAAAGCAAAGATTCGTTGATAAAAGACATATCAGCCAAGGTTACTACCAATCGCTACTAGACGCGCGTAATGAGTGGTGAGCAGGTTGTCGTCGCGCGACAATGTAGATTGATATAGTTTGATGAATAATGAAGTGATATTGATAGCTTAACTAAATTTAATGCAGTTCACTTTTTTGCCTTTGCTCAAAATAGCTGTTTGAGTAGATTAGCTTCCTCTGCACGTACTAGTGTGCGTGAGTTTCGCGGTACCCTAAACGAAGGATCCTTTGTTCGATTGCACGTCTGCGCGTCGCACTCGCGGTAGCAGACGGCTCGTTACCGCAGGGTGAAGGGCAGACAACCAACGTACGTCACGTATCCTTGACACAGTGTTGTCATAAAAATGATATGCACGGCTGAGTTCAGCCCTTGGTACGTTGTGTGGTCGGCGTTGACAATCGCGATGCCGAAGGTGATGGCCAGAATAAGCATGCGCCAACATCGAGTCAAGTTATACAATGATGTATGCCAGTACATTGACTGAAGTTGCTGCATGATCAATCTGAGTTGCATCCAGGAAGTAGCAGCTCGCTTGCGTGCTAAAACACTAGCTTTGGTAAACTATCGTGAGCAGGTGCCGTCACATTAGGTTTAGCTAGACGAGTCAGCAACACTTGGAGCTCAGAGATAGATTTGGAATTGGTAATCTTCCAGTTGGAGATGTTCAACCCGTCCGTAAGTCGCAGCACTAAATCCAGTCAATGGAAGCTCTTTCATCTTCGCACCTCTGACCTTCACTACATCGCAAAATACCGGTAAAATTTCACTTTTGAGCTAATCAGCTGTTCGTAAAAACGTTTAACGGTATTTGCAGTACGTAATAGCAAAATCCAAAGTACGGAATAGCCTTGCCCCTCTGATGATATATACATAAGTAAGATAGGGGAGCAAGCTCTGGAGCTCGCCCTTATAATCAGTCATCCGATTTATAGAACTGAATCCATTCGCAAAACACTATACAACAGGAGTCACTGAAGAATGAGTATGATCCTGCTAATGTGTGCATAATTCGATTCAATATACTCAAGCAACGCGATTAGTCTTTGTTTTATGAGCGTCCATCATTTGCTAATGTAATCACATTCACCTCTGATAGATTTTGAGTCAATCAGGTGCGTGTGTCACAATTTTGACCTAGCCAAGAGTGACGTCGGACACGCCGATGTACACTTGAGGGGGGACTGGCTAGAGCGCACTTAGTACAAGTCACGTACACCTAACCCGTTCGTGACAGACACATAAAGATAAGTACGGGATGCAACATTGTGCACACTCACTGATAGCTTCACCCTTCGAACTCGCAAATATGACGAATGCTCAGATAACACCATTACACCTCTGCTGCCATACTAAACATGACAAGGCGCACATCTGATGTTACGCGTAATCTCAATCTCCAGACAGCCATAACGCCGTCTCCCGAGGTGACAAGCCTCATTCGACTACCGGACTGGCACGACGGACCAGTTGATAACCAGGCTAACGAAATATTCGACATTTGGCAACGACCAGAAGTCAATATAGACGCGGTCCTGTCTCTCGATTTCTCTGTGACGTGGTGTGCGAACGTCAAACGACTCTATTTGTGTCAGCCATAAATTGCGTGCTTATGTATGACTTTACGATTATTACCTGACAAATCAGAGATTTATGCCGCGCGGTCCTTCAGATCACCCTGGGGTGAACTGCGATTACTCTGACTCAGTTTGAACTCCTTACAGGACCCACACCCCTCATGACACTATGGGGCTTTACGGCTTGTAGGGCATCCGGCAGACACCGGCCATTCATTGGTGGTAGCTTGTCCACATTATTAGTGTATCTCCGGCGCACTGTGATCGAACCCCCATCGGTATCGATCGAGTCACCTCCCGGTCCCTGTACCAGTGGTGTACCACTCGGCCACAGGGGTTGGTAAACAGACAAATCAGACGCACATACTATCCAAACAATATTGCCGAGACAAAACGCACACCTCATGTCTTTATGACATGGATAAGGTCGCTTGTTACGGATGGCGCTTGAAACGTCAGAGCACGGTACTTGTCGACAGTCAGGATAGGAGTTACGACAAGTCGTGATGATTTTATGCTTTCGTACGGCTTCTATCCATATCGTTGCATCGATGACCACCGCTCGGCTGTACGTCATTAAGAAACGACGCAATGCGGTTGCGTACAGGGATAGTTCACAGGAACTTTGGTGGCATGTAGCGTGTACAAGCGCACAACTGCGTTGAAAAATATGTACTACTACTCCCTATCAATCTCAACCAAACGCTCGCGACTCAATCAGTCGTCTTTCTGTTATTGCGTGCTACTGCTACGAATGTCAACACAGGGCGACACGTCAAACCGCCTATCTATTGCCTCATTCTCTTCGTGAGTCATTCGCCACGAGTAGAAGACGTGGCACAAAACCACAATCGCTCGAACCTGCCAGTTCGTTTTTCAATACGAACCGACCGATCCCAAATCACCGATCCCTGATGACGCGGCGAGCCAAAGAGCGACGTACCATGCGCGTGCACGCCAAGCAGCAGCTCGAAGAAGAGCGACTGCTGCGGGACAAGCGCTTGCGCTCGCGTGCGTCGTGGAAGCAGCTCTTGTCGACTATCGACGGCCCCAGCTCCAGTCGGCACGTGTACAATAGCTGCAGCAGCAGCAGCGAGTCGCCCATTGTCGATGAGCTGCAGTGGAAGAGCTCGCAGGTGCCCATTGCCGCTTCGGGCAATTTTCAGCTCCCTATCAAGCTGGACGCACGCAAGGGACAATTGCTCTATTCGTTCCGTACCAGAACGTACGACGTGACATTTGGCGTGCAGATGATCTGTGCCGACGGGAGTTTGATTCAACTGTTGGAGCCGCGACGCTACGAGAGTCAGAAGCAGCACGTAGAAGGCAAATTAGCTCTCACCGGTCCTGCCATGGTGCTCTTATTGTGGGACAATTCCTTCTCGTGGGTCAACACCAAGCAATTGGCGTACCACGTGGAGCTCAAGCAGGAGATACTGCTAGTGTCGGAGGCAGAGAAAACGCAAATGGCACTTCAAGCACGGCTGACGAGGCAGCAGGAGCTCTTGCAGCGTGAAAGCGAGTACGACGGACTCGAGACGCAGGTGCAGACGGAAGCACAGACGATCGAGTTGCTGCGGCATCAGATCGAAGAGCTGCAGACGCAGCTTGAGCAACGCGAGGAAGCCAAGGAAAACATTGCCAGGGAGAAACACCTAGTGGGCGAGCATGTGGAAGATCTTTGCTGGGAACTACAGGGTAAGGACAGACAGAAGGATTTTTCTTTGAGATGCAAATGGTTTGACATTATTCACGTTTGAGTTGCAGCGCTGAGCTGGCGATGCCTTGACGAAGCGGCGCGGTGTCGTATTCTGGATTGCTTGGACGCAAAAGACCTGATCGCATGGTGCGTAGCAAGGTGGTGGTCTACTTTGAACGGCTTTGCATTTGCTTACATTATTGGGGTTATCACCTGGTTCTTGGAATGACAGGTCGCTTACAAGCAAAAAGTGGTTTGACAGAGCGAGCACGTATTTGGCCAATAGACGCAAAAGCGTCGAATCAAATGAACAAGCTTCTGCGTGAGATCGTATCCGTGTTCCAGTCTAATCATAGCCAGAGGGCATCGGGTAAACGGCGTGACGGGGCTTTAGACACCTCGTGAGCTACTCGACCACCTCCACGAGGTCATTGTTGTCGATACACCATTTCTAATGCACTCGTATGTTTATCATGAAGAGCCTTGAGGAAGATACGTGGCCACCGATCAGCGTTGTGCTTGCAGCGTCTGGTCCGCTCGAGGCTTTTATCAACGACTCTGTCGCTCGAGGTTTACGCCACCACTAAAGGAAGACTGGCTATCTCGTCAGTCGTTTCCAAGCCTTTCTCTCAATCTCTCGACTGTTTTTGCTCGCGAACACACACCATTCAATGCGTCGTTCCATCTCAAACGAGCGTCGAGAAGTGGAAAGTCAGCGTTTGTTGTCTTCTCGCGTCGTTGACTCGTACTCGATCTCTACCGCAGCTTCGCTTTTGTCAAAAGTTTGAATTCGTCACCGTTGATCGAGCTAGCGCAGGTCTCCAATGCCGGCATACGTCGCGTCATGTCGCTGTATGTTATGCGAGCACAAACTCGTCAGTTCTTGGTGTCGCTGAAGGCATTACTCTGCAGCTTAACCCTTTTCCGAACAGAGTAACGGCCGCTGTCACTGGCACGAAGTCACTTTCAGAATATCGGCTGCTTCATCTGGAGCATGGATGTCGAGCTCATGAACGTTGCGAATATGAGAAAATGGCCACTGACTTTCGGACTTGGTCTTTGACGTCACCTCCTCCTTCTAGTGTGGTAGTGAGACACCTTCATGGTCGAATCCAACGTGATGTCCCAACGAGGTGTGTGTGCATCACCGTTGGAGGTGGGACGGTCGTCCGACTCGATCTGTGCAAACTCTTCCCACTCGCATCGATACGTCCATGTTGCAGCAGCTGCTCTACACCTGCTGGCTCTGGGCGGGCTACCTATCGATACTTCTCTGCCTCCCTACATCAGTGACCCGTTTTCTGACCAACTAGGTGCCATCAAGACATGCACATGCGGGCACTTGTTATTCATCAGAGGAGTTGGCTTCCAAGTGCCCCAAGGAGATATCCACATTCCGTCAGGATTCCAACTTTGGCACGGAAAATGCTCTTGGTCCTCCGCGCTGGCTTGACATCAGAGACTTTTTTTGCCAACTCTCTATCTATCTGACCTCGATCGATTGACCGATCGGTTCCTTTTGCCTCGATCGGCACAAGAATGAAGGTGTCACTGCATGCACACAACGTCGTTTGTTTGCGACCGTCGCTGGCTTCAGCCTGACCATGCTCGTCAGTGTTTACGCCATTTAGTGGCCGGCCTCACCTTTTTCTGCGACGATTCCGATCCTTGATGGACAAATTGTCAATTGGTTCATCAACAGATTGTAGGTTGACAACTCCCACCCCGTGGTCTAACGGTCGCACCGTATGTATGTTGTAGCTTGAGTGGTGTGCTATGCATGTGCTTTGATGTGGACATCATCGATTGGTCTGCCATGTCGATTTCGTTGGTCATTCCGGAGCATCAGTAGAGGGTTCGTCTTGCTGATCAAGACGAAACAGTAGCACAAGTTATCGGGTGTTCTCGAGTACCGGAGCATTTCGAGCTTTTGTAGCACTTGGCCCTGCAATTTACTGCAAGTATTGAGGCGCTCTGTCTACCAACGTGTGTCTGTGCCACTACCTTGTCAAGGGTAAATAGGTTGAGTGCTTATGAGCATGATCATGTCGTGGACCAGGTCTGAAGATGCGCATGCTTCTCCGTGTTTACTCTTAGCTTGACGACTACGAGTGTTGATGCATTTCAGATCGCGCATTTGCGCTCATAGCGTGCCATTCGCTGAGCTCAGCTGACTCAGCGGAACTCTATCATGCCCTGCTCTTTGAGCAGTTTTCTCGCGCAGCCTTTTTAGGTCCGTCGCTCTGGTTTATGCTGGTGTTGCTTGCTCGCATATTGAGTCGGAAGTTCGACATCGGATGGTGCTAGTACAGATACTACACTTGTGTATGCAACAGCTGCAGCTCCAAATCGATTGAATTAGCAAGTGGTATCTATGCCTCTTGCTGCTTAGTGTATCAGAATGACACCCGCTCGGCCTCCGCCGCCAGTAGCATCAGTGCTGTTGATGGTTATCCGAGCTAGCTGGTGTCTCATGTGTAGGCAGGTGTGTTGACAAATCACTGAATAATGAATTAAGGTACTTCCATTGAGGCAACGCGTTGACAAGTCACTTGAATTTGCATGAGCAGTAACCTCATCACAAATAAACAAACGGGCACACCTCAAATAAAGTATCAACGCTTCAAGTCTGTCCGACACAAAGGTACGACGGGCATCTTGGATATCTCAGGTCGGAGATCGTACCCTAATATACCTCACGTTCATCATCACTACCACCAACGTGCATCTACAGTCCTTTCAAGAATCGTCTTGTGAACAAGTGAACAACCGCCCAAATGGTAGTCTGCCTAATAGTAAACAAACAAGTTCCACGACAGCTGTGAGGCGATCTACAACACAAGTGCCGTACTAGCACTACCAGAGAGTCACCTGCTCTGGCCTACAACGTCTCCAGCCAAGTCGGTCGAGTACGTGCGAACAAGACCTCAAACACGAGCTTGCACGCACTCGCACATTGTTCTAGAATGTTAAACGTTACTGTGCGCGCTAACTCTTCACGGCACTCGACTCTTTGTTTCGCATTCACGAAAACAGTCGCAATCCTCTCGTGTTTCGCTCGTGTCTCGCTAGATCTCCACCCAACTAGGCCCGTCCAAAAAACAGAGAAAGAGGCAACTCGAGCCCGAAAAAAAGCATCGAAACATCATTTAATGTGTTTTTGCATTCGAAGTTCACTTGCCGTCCTTCGGCGCCTTTGATTCGTTGTTTTTCACGCCCTCCCTCCATCTCAAGTCCCGTCAAAAGTGTCATGTGTGACGTTTTTGACCTGCTTTTCAACCAATCGCGTGTCCCGACGATCCCGAATTTAAAGTCAAGTGGCCGCCACGAGAGTCGATGGCGTCCGACAGCTCCGAGGAAGACGAGCCCATCGTCATGGCGCCCGCGACGGCACCGTCAAGCGATCAGAATGTCCGTCCTGTTCCCTCTCTATCTACCTCTGGTCTCGCTTGGCCTATGGTCTCTGTCTCTGATTCGTTGTCGTCCCTTGACTCTACTATAGAAAACGTGGATGGACGAAGACGCCGACGAGGAAGAGGAAGACGCAGATCTGAGCCAATTGCAGCGTCAGCACTCGCCCAAGTTTAAGCGCTGTGTGGCTGCCGTGTCCGAGAACGAGTGGGACACGGAAGCGTGGGTCGCCCTCATGGACGAGGTGCAGCTGCTGCCAATTGCAGAAGCACGTGAGCACTATGAGGCGTTTTTGGCGCAGTTTGCCACTGCTGGACGGTGGTGGAAGCTTTATGCAGCACATGAATTACGGGAGAAGCAGTACGGCCGTGTGCAGGAGATCATCAAGAAGTCACTCATGCAGCTGCGCTGTCCCCACGTAGACCTTTGGCGGTTCTATTTGGACTTTACTAAGGTCGCTAAGCTGGATGTAGCTGTGGATTCAAAGGACCCGTTGGCTATTGCAACTGCTAGAGAGTTAATGAGTGACGCTTTTGAGTTGGCAATTGAACGAGTTGGGGGTTCCATTGACGCTGCACCCATTTGGCTAACGTACTTGGCCTTCGTGCAGGAAGAACAGGATCCACAAGCTTTTTTGAATGTGAGAAAATTGTATCATCGTATGGTCATGGTCTCGCTTAATGGTATGGAGACTATCTGGAGAGATTACGAAAAGTTTGAACGCGCGATCCCGAATAATGAAGCTCTGGCGCAAAACTTCTTCAAAGTGTTCCGGCCCAAGTTTGATGCAGCGAGAGCAGTGCTGCGAGACCGCGCAAAGCTATACGATCAGGTTAATACTAATGCGCTAGCAGTGCCCGCGACGAGCTCCCGAGCTGACGCAGCTGATATGGCAAACTGGCAGAATATTCTTGCACTGGAGATGAGCAATCCGGAACGGTTGGACGCTTTGCGTCTGAAGTCCCGCATGCGCTACACACTCGAGCTTTTTGTGAGTGTGAAACGGCTTTACCCAGAGGCGTGGTATCAGTACGCGTCGTACGAGAACCAAGTGAACGACCCGGACGCTGCTGTCAGTGTGTTCGAGCGCGCGATTGCGGCTGTTCCGGACTCAAGCTATCTGCATTTTGCATTTGCTGATCACTACGAAATACGCGGAGACATCGCTGCTGCCAAAGCCATATACGAAGAGCTGATCGAGGCCCACGTCTCCGCGCTTGCATATGTCACGTATCAGCGCTTCGCTCGTCGTGCTTACGGCACGAAGGGGCTAAGTGAGGCCCGTGCGATTTTTAAGAGAGCACGCAAAGATGAACGGGAAGGGGCTTGCACGTACCACGTTTTCGCGGCCTCTGGTAAGCCATGCTTACTTTGCTTTTGCGACAATTTTCTAATTTTAGCGTCTAATGTATTGTATTTTGTGATTTACTTGCATAGCTCTGCTGGAGTTTTACAGTGATAACTCTGAAAGCGGAAAAGACATTGCGCTTAAGATTTTTGAGCTTGGTTTGAAGAAATGTATTCAAGAGCCTGCCTACGTACTGTGCTATCTGGAGTTCCTTGGTCATCTGAATGACGATAATAGTAAGTGGTTCATGCAGCTTGCAACTACTGACAGTGTCTGACAAACGGGTGATATCGCATATTTGCAGATATGCGGTCTTTATTCGAGAAGGTACTGTCTGTCATGCCTCCAGAGATATCACGCCCGATATGGGACCGATATGTGGAGTTTGAGCACACGATGGTAGCAAGTGGCGGCGATCTTGCTACTGTGGCGAAAGTAGAGGCTCGTCGTGCACTAGCTTTTCCGAATGAACCTTTCGTAGAAATGAAAGGTTTACTGAGTATAGCACACCGGTACTCCTTCTTGAATATGCGACCACCGACGAGTTGCGACCAGAATTTCCTCGACATGTATCGAGCTTCTTCATGTGGAGGGTCGTCCGGAGCCAGTCGTGATGACGCTGATGATAATGACGAAGGAATGGGAAGTGCTGGCTTTGGGGGTGGCTTCAGTTTTGACATGGAAAGGTGCGGGACCATGTGGAGTAATTTGTTTGCAAATGATCAGTTCTTCGTGTCAGTAACAGTAATGGTATATTCATTCATTGCGCAGACAAATACCAGGCCCTCCACTGCCTGAGTTCTTGAAGGAGTTTGCTAGCATGCTTCCACTAAACCTGCCCTGGAATGGGCCGATCGCCGATGTGGAGCATATCTTCCGCGCAATGCTGCTTGTCGATTTTCCTCCCCGTTCGCGCATCGAGCAAATGGCGCAGCAGCAGCAACAGCAAATGCAGCAACAACTAGCGCTCCAGCACCAACAACAACTTCAGCAGCAAGCTGCTGAGGCCGAAAAGAATGGCGGACTTGGTGACGATGACGGTGCCTCGGGGGTGGTGAGTAAGCGACCAGCGCACGACATTTTCCGTTCGCGTCAACAGCAAAAATTATCAAAGCTTGGATAGCTCGAGCGCGACAAGCACATGAACGATACAGTAGTTTACCATGTCATGACAGACCCAGCAAATCTCACTTGTGCGTCTTCTTTTGTTTTTTGAAGTTGACAACTATAGTTGGAAATCCGAGGTCTCCGTTATCTTGAAGTCCCACCGCAAGGTTCTTGTGATCACTCAGCAAGGCTCTTTGGTTCGTTGACGTGGCCACACCGGACCTCACAACAAAGCCATCGTCTTCCTCCTCGGACAACGATTCCTCATCACCTTCTTGAGTGCCAGCCAACTCTTCCTCATCGTCGTCATCGGTCTCATCATCGTCCGTGTCAGCTAAAACGGCAGGTCGCCAATCCTTAAGCAATGCAGATGTAAGCTCGTTTGTCTGGAGAGTCTGGCATGCACGAACAAGTTTGTCACCACTTAGCATTACGTCACGATACTTGACGTTTCCCCAGATATCTTCTACTGCTTCCCACTGAGCCATTGCCGCTTCTAGATTGATATTGTTCACGTTGCTACGTCATGACAAGAAGAAGTACTTGGTCAGCACGACACAAATCAGTGCGGACGGCTAAACCATTCTCGATAGCGACGTACCTCTGACCATGTAGAAAGTCTTGAAGCTCTTGGATGCCGTGAGAGAAGAACGGAACTAACTTCGCCTCCGTCTTTGAAATCAATCGGTGTGCATTATATTTCCGACCGTACACCTTGGCTAGTAACTCACTGGACCACCCTCTTCTCCGTCCATTGCGTTGCATTTTCAAGACAACACGCTCCTGGAAGGTATGCGTCACCTTCTCCATCGCTACCGAGATGGCATAAGCAGCACCAAACAGAATGACCAAATGTTCCAACGCGCCAGTGCTATCGCTCACACTTTGATCGATGCGCCAGGCTACACATTTCGTCAAAATAGACCTGACACTCCTCATGGCAAATGCACCTCCCCGCAGCACGAGCAAGTTCGTCTTTGACGGCAAGTTGAATCCGCACGCTTCAGCTTGTGCGAACACTCTTAATGCACTTCCAAAAACATTCATTGCTCTGCAGTAGTCCATAAAGGGATTCATATCTGCAAGAGCTTGTGTGCTCGATTTCTTCGGGGCTGCTCGATGCAATGAAGCGATAGCACAAAGTAGAACCGCCTCAATGAAAAACGGCAATGACTCATTTGTCAGGTTTTTCAGCACAACGTGCTCCCCATTTGCCACCACAGCAAGCTCGTCTTGATAGCGTCCTTCGTCCAAGTCATTCTCGTCCGATTCGTCTTCGCTTTCATCCATGTCTGCTGTTCTCTTCTTCTGGCCGTTCCGTTCGCCATTGTCAGATGCAGCGGCGTCAATCAAAGCGCGCATTTCCTCAAGAAACTGAGCCAACAGGAATGACCCCGACGATGCTGACGCAGTGAATGCCCAAGCCCCTACTACTAGATATGCAATGTGACGCCATTTCATCGAAGTGCACCGGTATTTTGCTAACGAACACACACGGCCGCTGACCGGAGAGACAACAGCTTTAGACAGGGACCTCAGCGGCAGATCTCTAAGAAACTTTCCAGCGAATGCGTCGAACTGGCATAGAGTGGGCGCAGCCGGAAACGTCTGGTGCAACAAAGCGAGGCATAGCTGACTGACAAGAGGGCTCTTCTTCGTGTTCAGCACAAGCGAGACGAGAGCATCGATGACCAACGAAGCCAGCGTAGGGTCCTGCAATCATACAAATGTGCCGCAGATTAGTTGAGGTAGATGAGTCTTTCAGCATTAGTGAACTCACCGTCAACTCGAGGCACTGTCGCGCCAGGAAGCGAAAAAAGACCTCATCACATCCATACGGCTTATCGATACGAGACGAATCGTCACCAGGACTTGCGCCTGCAGCAAGCAGCTTCATCATTTTTTCGGTCCAAGTAGAGTCTCTCGCCGTGTTTGCGATACGACACTCTTCTAACAGCAGAATGAACGAATCGTAAATGTACGCCAGACTGTAAGCAAGTGACTGTCTCGTCCTCGCTCTTGCGACCACAGCTTCTGCTGAGACAACCTCACTGTCTTCGTCTGCAGAACATTTCAAATCATCACCATAGTTATCATTGCTGATCATGTGGCTGAGCTCCGCTGCACGATGACATAGCCACTTCACTGTACAGCGTCCTTCTTTCATCGAGACAAGTAACTTCAGGTTTCCACTACTATCCGATGAGCCATCGAAGCCTGAAGAAGATATAGCATTATTCTGTAAGTGTTGACTGAAAACTTGCAATAGCTCCAATTCATCGTCCACCGACAGTGTCGGTTTCGGTAAGCTTCCAAACTGGCCTTCAAATACCAAGCAGATAACGCGGAAGTCGAGGCCGGACAGCGAGCCACGAGGGGGTTCCTTTTGTACACGACGAAGCTCACCGTTAAGTAGTTGTTCAGCAACTGAAGCCTCTTGCAGCATCCATTCCAGTTCATCCTTTTGTCCGCGAGTACACTGCAAATTTGCTGTGTCGGTCATGCTCTCTAAGCGGGCCACTATGTTGACCTTCTGACGAGCCAGTATCTGCGCAAGATGATTCCGCTGCTTCAGGCAGATGTTCAACCTCGTTGTCATCCGTGCATGCTGATCCATACGACCTTGTTGCAATGCTGGTGTGTCTGTTATTGCCGAGTACTGTTTTGCAGCAAAATTAGTTGATGCGACTGCGACATCCAGAGCACATACTAGATTCCAGATTACAGTATTCAAAACAACAGGCTCAATCGACCCGCACGCCTCGGCGCTTAAGGCTTGCTTGTAAGCGGAAGGGAGCAAGCACGCAGCACCTACAATTTCAGATTGCTCGATAGGAGTCGCAAAGCACATGTAGCAATGAAACAGTTCCCGGAGAAGACACATTTTCGTCAAGTACTCTCGCTCCAGAAGCTTTTGATGCACATCTCGTTCACTTTGGCTCATTTTACCAAACGAAAACGACAGCACACCAAAGCGAAGCTTGAACACGAAATCTGTAGCATCCAGAACTAATAGAGTTGTCCGCCCGTTGCAGTCAGTTGCGCGAGCGCTGGTTACGTCATCATACGCAATCACAACGCTGTTGTCCTCCTTCACTCGCTGAAGTACCTCGTCGCGCGATGTCCAACAGAGACCTTTCTTTCTAAACACCTGAAAAATAGCTGGAGTCAGTAGTGCCCGCTCTTGCTCCAAGGCTGACACTTCACGTGATCGATTCATTTCGTCTCGCACGAATTCCAACACATGCAGCAGCGTCTCATCACGATTTGCAGAAGCCAAAAGACGCAACATCCAGTTTGCTAGTGTTTTCCGGTCGCGAGACTCTATGACAACTTGGTTTTTAAGGAGATGTCCAGCAAGCAAGACCGCCATCAGTTGTTTTACCTCCACGGCACTGGCACGACTCTGTAGAGATCGACCACTTTGGAGTCGAAATGATTGCTGGTCATGAGGCAAACCAAAAGCTCCTACCCGCGTCACAAGTTGTTTTTGAATAGTGATCATCAGCAGTGAATAAATGCCCCGTTCCTTCTTCGTCAATAACGCCATGGTCGAACAGAGTAGATCGAGAATATGTGACGGATACCTTTCGGCAACAGTCGTAGCAGAAGCAATTCCATGAAGGTGGTCAAGGAATAAGTGTGATGACGATGCCAGTGCACCTGCATTCCTCCGGGCAAGTTCTAATAACCGCAGTGCAATTGCTTCCGCCACATTCCAACAAAGAGTGCTTCGAGTACGTTGCACTGAATCAGCGTTAGCGAGTAGCAATAACTTCTTAGGTTGGCTTGCAATTTTCAGTAAGAGAATCAAAGCCTGTTGCGTGCCAAGAATTGTACGGTGGACAGAGTTAGATCACGGGGCAACGCTCTGGCGATTTAGATCTTACCTCTTCGTGCACAATACTGGCGGTCTCGATAAGAACAATGAACGAGTCGACAGAGCTGCTGATCAAATTCGAAGCCAGCGTGACCCGAGTAGAAGCGCGGAAACAGGTTGCAAGAAGACAGCTACAAAACTGGACGAATGAAGGAAGCAGATAGGTCCATTCTGGTCTCACAAGCATCATAGCGGCTTCGCGCATCAATCGGCCGTATATCCGGCCACTTTGCGCAATAGACGTTGTAGTTCGTACAGCTAACTACGACACAATTGGATGTAAGAATAAGAAAGGCATCAAGTTCAAACATACAAAAAACCAGCCCTCACTGAAAGCTACAGAAAACATACCTCATTTTCAGCCGACTTGCCCATCACGAGAGTCAGCGAGAGGATGTCAAACGTTGTCAGCGGTTCGACGTGTCGGATCAGGCGGAGCAATGCTGCTAGTGCCACCGAACCCGCACTTGCAAAGCGTCCAATCACTTCCATCGTGAGGGATAACGTACCTGACTGAATGCGGTTGCACTCGGTTCGAAGTCGACCGAGCGCCTTCGGAGCCGACAATTTTGTCACCATAGACAGTAAACTCTGCACCACTGCAGGTATGTCACTCTCTTCCGCCGCATCCAACAGTGACTGCGTTGCCTCTACTACCGTGTTCTTTTCACTGGTATCCAATGGCATTTCCGCCAGAGATCCCAGCACCGGCACCAACGAGGACCGGTCCGTCGCCAGGAGCTCCAAATAAGCTTGCACCACTAGCTCCATACACTCTTTCGACTGGTACGTCAACTATGACGCAGCGAAGACACAAGACAATGCAACAAAATAAGTATCGATAATCGTAAGCACGACTCAATTTCAAATACTGCGCCCCACCTTGGGCAAGTGATGGACCAGCAGCACACGATGATCACAAAAGAGCAGCAGTGAAAGAATCTCCTCAGTCAGCTCCCGCGTGGGCGTCACGTAGTTGCCGAGCAGCCGCAGCAGCGCGTTCACATCGTCACTCGAATCATCGGTGCCACCACTACGCAGTCGCTCCAGTACGAGCTGCGCTGTCTCCACGCATTGCACGCTGCTGCCCGTACGCAGCAGGCGTCTACACACGTCCAGCGCCTGTGCCATGCTCCCGTTGACCACCAGGTCTGCCGTCGTCGCGACCATCGCGCCGTGTCCAATGTGGCATACCACAACTCGCTGTCGGTGATTGGCGCTGGAAAAAGGTCCCACCTTGCGCCTAAATTCAAGTGATACACGCAGTGGCTACACTTGGTTTGCTACTTTCGGAGCGAGCAGCTCACTTACTTTGCGGTTACTTCACAGACCCGCCAATGCGACAGCTTCTGATTTACGAAACCAGAGCCCTGTTTGTAACAAGAAGGTAGCAGCTAACAGGATAATGATGACACAGTACCGACGAATACCAGAAACACGATAAGCCTCTGAAGCAAGAAGGAAGAATCAAGGCGAGGCAGCTGCAAGAAATTTCATAGTACAACTGATTGACAATCCAAAAGTATAGCAAGGGGCGGGTAGCGAAAGCGGGTCCTAAAACCTCGTTAAGTGCTGCCATAACGAAGGCGAACAGCGAGCCTCGGAAACCAAAGTGCAGGCAATCCATTCATGCCGCTCATTGCTGAGTAGGTGCTCAGACTTATTGCCCACTCAGCTCCACGTTGTATATCTGCGTCACTTTTGTACAGCAGCGACATCCGTCTCTGTGGTCTCTTCCTCGATCTTTGCCCTTCCCAGTGCATACTTCGCTACAGCATGAGGTACGGCCGAACCAAACCCGTAGAGGAAGATGCCCACAGCGCCAAGCATCATGAGCTTGTTCCTGACTCGACGAGCCCTCGCACGTGCGTCTACCACTTCCACCACGGATGACGACATGCGTTTGAGCTTTGCAGTGCTCTCGGAGACAGAGGAACGGGCACGATCATGCGCAGCACTAGTGGCCTCGACTGCTTTCGACCGCAGACGATCTGTCAAGTCACTAGCAGAGTTACTGACGGATCGTTGCAGTAGCTCTACATTCGCTCGGAATTGGTGGGCGGCGCGTTCCTGATTGCTGCGGACATTCTGCAGTAACTTGTTCCCTATACCACGTGCCTTTTCGTTCACTGCAACGCGTGATTCACTCGCTTTGTTCCTCACCGCCTTCTGCGCGGTCTCGATCACGTCTCTTGCAGCGCCTTTGGCGTCGTCGACCGTCAACTGCAACCGTCGCTTGAATTTGATCCATTTTCAATTAATTGCGCATGTATGACAACAGGGGGGGGGCCGGAGTGATGGTCACATTCGACTAAGTACGCGTATCAGCTACACCATCCAGTCCATTTCATACTCCTTTTCCCTCGTCGACCACCTCCCGATCGCTCCTTCGCCTCGACGTCTGCGTCATGTTCAGCGGATTCGGAAGCGGTTCCAACCGCAGTAGAGCACCTGCACCAGAGGCATCGGACTCAGCCTCGAACACGCTCCCGCAGCCCAAGACCAGCAGTGGAAGCAACAGTGGACCTGGCAACGGCTACTCGTTCGACCCGTCCGGTCTGGAACGGGCCGCCAAAGCCGCTCGAGAACTTGAGAACTCTCGTCACGCCAAGGACGCGTTCAATTTGGCCAAAGAGACGGAGCGGACCAAGCAGATTGAGAGTCAGGCGAAGATCAAGGAGAACGAGGCTCTGTACAAACAGTACGAGATCGTGCGGGTGCAGAAAGAGGGCGAAGAGCGCCGCAAAACGCTCGAAGAAGAGACGCGTCAGCACCAACAGCGTGCGCAGTATCAGGACCAGCTCAAGCGCAAGCAGTATGCAGACCAATTGGCCGCGCAGAAGTACATGAAGGAGCAGGAGCTCAAGAAGCAGGAGGAGATCCTGGCTCGTCAGGAAGCTTCACGTCGCAAAACGCTCGACTATGAAGCTGAACTGCGTCAGAGGACAGAGATGGCCAAAGTGGCGGCGGAGACAGAAGGACGTATCAAGCAGGAGCGTCTTAACCATGATCTGCATCTGGAAGAGGCCCGTGTGCGTGCGAAGGAGTACCGTGAGACGGTCATGGAAGGGATCAAGCTGGCGGGCAATACTATCGGCTCTGGTGTCATGTCCTTTGTCGATGACAAGGAGAAACTCACTGCCACGGTTGTCTCTTTGACAGCTCTTGCTGCTGGAATTTACACGGCCAAGGTCTCAACTCGTGTTGCAGGCAAGTACGTTGAGGCGCGTATGGGAAAGCCGTCGCTAGTGCGTGAAACTTCGCGCCGCTCGGCTGCACAGGTGTTGGCGAATCCTATCCCGTCCATTAAGCGTGCGCTGCGTCTACAGAAGCCGACGGATGCATTGGAAGGCGTCGTGCTTGAGCCCAAGCTGGACGAGCGTCTTCGCAGCGTTGCTGTGTCCACGTTCAACACGAAGAAGAACCGTGCGCCGTTCCGTCACTTGCTGTTGCACGGCCCGCCGGGTACGGGTAAGACGCTGTTTGCCAAAGCGTTGGCGCGTCACTCTGGTCTGGAGTATGCTATTCTCACGGGTGGTGATGTTGCCCCGCTGGGCCGCGAAGGCGTGACGGAGATCCACAAGCTGTTTGACTGGGCATCGCACAGCCGTCGTGGGTTGCTGCTGTTCGTTGACGAAGCTGATGCGTTTCTCCAGAAACGTAGCAATACTGTCATGAGTGAAGACATGCGTAATGCGCTGAACGCCTTCCTGTACCGCACAGGTGAGGCAAGCGACAAGTTTATGGTTGTCTTTGCAAGCAACCAGCCAGAGCAGTTTGACTGGGCCATCAATGATCGCATTGATGAGATGGTGGAGTTCCGTTTGCCTGGCTTTGATGAGCGTGTGCGCATACTGAAGCAGTACTTCGAAGACTATATCCGTGCTCCCAAGAACTCGCGTGCTAAGAAGATTTATGTGGAGGAAATTGAAGATTCGGACTTTGAGGACTTGGCCGCCCGTACAAAGGGTTTCTCAGGTCGTGAGCTGTCGAAGCTTGTGATTGCCTTCCAGGCTGCTGCATACAGCTCGCCGACGTCGGCGTTTGACAAGGAGATGATGCTGCAGGTTCTTGAACACCACCTCACGGCGCACACGAAAAAGGAGGCGTGGAAGGAATACGCGGCCCCGAATGCTAAACGTGACGACATCAAGACGATCTTGGTGGACTAAGCGCAAGCTTTAGCTGGCTGTCGCTTGCCTAGAGTCGGCTTCGGAGGCTCAGCTGCACAATCGGGTTAGCGACGCCAATTACCGATGAATATCGATTTGATAGACTAGACTGTTAGATTAGTACCTGGTTCGTGGGTGCTACTCAGTTCCAGTTGCCAAGGTTGCGCTTTTCGATCTCCGCGTATCTTCTCTTGCTGTGCGAAGTCATGGGTGAGTGGGTACTCGACGCGGCTACGGTTGGAGAGACTGAACAAGAGCAAGTGAGGCCTTTAAATTTGAACATGGCATCGTCTCCGTTCACCCTGTCCCGCACATAAATAACCGCGTTTGTCACTTCAACTTCACGTGGGTCTTCCACTAGGTACGATCTGAAATGGGGATATCTCCTTTTCCAGACCTGACGCCACAAGTCAAAGGACTGCGAGTCACGGATGCTCGTGCGGGTGCGTTCGAAGAACGGGACGTGGCGCGTGGGGGACCTGACGCCGTCGTCCACCATCGCATGCATCAAGCGCTGGATCTTTGACCAGCACGCGATTGCTCCGCAGCATCAGGAGCTGACGCTGGACCTCCTGCAGACGCAAAAGACCACCGACACACAGACGCTACGGGAGCTCCGCGTGGGCCACGGCGACATGCTCTTCCTGAACTACGAGGGACAAACAGTGGGAACTGGAGGCGCAGTAGGGACCAAGGTCAATGCAGACGGCACACTCACGCGTGTGACGTACAGCGACCGCGCTGAGAAACAGTCGTTCCGCCCGGGCATGAAGTCCTTGCGGGACATGAAGATGTACTGGACGCTGGACGAGTTTATGCGCATGGACGCGCAGTTTGAGTTCAAGATCAGTGCGCAGAAGGAGCCGCACGTGGCAAAGGTGCATCTGGATGGCGCGAGCTGCAAGGATTTCCAGGCCTATTTGCGTCAGTTTGCCTTCCAGCAATCACGCTGTGGCTGGCTCTATGGCTCCGTGGATGTTGAAACCAAGGACGTGACCGTGGACTTTATTTACGAGCCGCCGCAAGAGGGCAATCCGTACGGCTTTGAAGTGCTCGATGACCCGAATGCAGACAAAGTTGACGCTGTGGCTGAAGCTCTTGGCTACGAAAAAGTCGGCTGGGTGTTCTCGCACCCTCCGCGAAAAGACGACGACTTCCACTTCTCGGCTCGTGAGATTCTACTGGCGGCACAGCTACAAGCCGATGCTGGCGGCAAGAGCTCGTTGTTCCTCACGCTGAAGGTGACGCTCGACAAGGAAGGCCAGGCAGTCTTTGAGGCCTTTCAGGTCAGCGATTTGTGTGTCGAGATGTTTGCAGCTGGTGCGCTGCTGGAAAGCGAGAAAAATCCAAAGGCGTGCGCGGTCAATAACACATTCACAGCTCTTGTGGAGGCCAAGCCGGCAAGTGAGGTGGACAACAACTTTTTCCTGTGCGTGGTGCCCGTGCTGCCGCACGAGTCTCCGCTGCGGTGCGAGTTTCCAAAGCTCAACCGAGAAGGTTCGTATCGCAACCGCGAGGCGCTCAAGGCTCAGCTGCAGAAGTACCGCAACGAGCCGTACGTAAAGCGCATCAGCGACTTCCAGCTACTGGTCTTTCTGTCAGATTTTCTGGACCTACAGACGGACATCCCAGCCATCTGCCGAGCCGTGCGCGACTCAAACGTCCCTCTTGACTCGGGCTACCCGATTCTTATCGACTCGGTCGCGGGCTGCCAGTGAGCGCATGTAGAGGAAAGATATACAGGTGGCAACAAGCAGTGACGCTATTGGTGTGTAGAGAACCTGTCTGATGCCCAGAAGTATCACGTATCCACTTGAAGTAGCCGGTTACTCGCTGACTTGTTGTCGCTTCACATTTCGTTACCCAGTATCCGTTCTGCTCCATTTACACGACCGCTGACAGACGCGACACACCCGTGACGATCGTGATCGTCCAGTCGTGCTGATCTGTCTCTCGATTGGTGGAAAACATTTGGCTACACTCCCTACGCACTTCATTTCGCTATTACCCGTCGCCTCTCTGCGCCTTTTCATGATGGTCCCGACGCGACTCCTTGAAGTAGTGGCTCTGTGTGTGGCCATGATAGCGGCCATGGCTGTCACTCGCACGCGCTCGGAGCGTCGCAAGCGGCAGCAGTTTGCTCTGCAGCAGCCGCTCGTGATTTCCCAGAGCGAACTAGAGCTGGTCAAGGACATTGTCTACATCAACAAGTCGACGGACTCGAGCAGCAGTTTCCGACCCGGACGCTCGAGTCCGCTACTGAACGAAGAGGGAAACCAGATACTCGTCGTTGGAGTGTGTGGAGGCTCCGGGTCCGGCAAGACGACGCTCTCGCGCGCCATCATGGCCGAGTTTGGTGCTGATCGCGTGTCGTACCTCTCGCACGATTACTACTACAAGGACTTGGCTCATCTCACGATGGAACAGCGTGCCAAACACAACTTTGACCACCCAGACGCACTCGAGACGGATCTTATGATTACCCACTTGAGAAAGCTGCGTGCTGGCAAGATCGTGGACGTGCCCGTCTACGATTTCAGCACCCACTCGCGCTGCAAAGCGACAGCTTGTATGAAGCCCAACAGCGTCGTGCTGGTCGAGGGGATCTTGATATTTGCCGACCAGGAACTTGCAGACCTCATGGACATCAAGATATTTGTCGAAACTGCTGCAGACATTCGTCTCGTGCGGCGCATGCACCGCGACATGAACGAGCGTGGTCGCACGGCTGCGTCGGTGATGGATCAGTATATGAAGACGGTGCGGCCCATGCACATGATGTTCGTGGAGCAATCGAAGCGGGTGGCGGACATCATCATACCACACGGCGTCAACTCGGTTGCTCTCGACATGATCATCTCCAAGCTCCACAGCTTCACTGCTGGCCAAAGTTCGACGGGCAGCAGCCGATCTGGCAGCGAGCGCTCGGACTCGATTGCTGATGAAAAGGATGTAGTCCGTTTTTGAGAGTGAGACGCTTTGCATGGACAGATGGGCACAAGCGTGCTTGATGATGCAGCGGCTTTTGTGGACGGGCGACACAGCAGGTCGTGGTTATGAAGGGCAGCATAAGCGATGACTGGGTGCAGTGTCCGGTACATATCGCCTATTGTAAGTGTATGTGGTTCAGCTACTTTCAATCTGATTGACCATAGCCTGCGTATAGCATCAGAGCAGCGGTATTGTGGCTGCACGTGTTACTAAGCATTTTACTACTTGCTCACATGCGCCTGTGGCTACAAAATGCTTTTGCGAAGTGCTATTGCAGTCCGCCGCACTTACTGCTAGAACCACAACGCAAAAAAATAATGCAAGTGAGGGTCGTAGTCGTCGCTCATTCATGTTACTGCTGGTGATGCACTCCACACGCGGTGGGTTCGACCCTGCCGATGCTCACAACCTCGTTTGGAAATGCGTGTCTACAGCCGACCGATCACGACCTCGAGCTCTTCCGCAGAGCAGACGTGGAAGCCTTTTTCGCGCGTGACAATCGCCAGTTCCACGTTAATGCTAGTGAGTTTCTCCTCCATATGCTGCTTGAGAGTGCTAATGGCGAGTGTCTCTGCCTCCTGCATCGTCAGCTCCTCCGTATAGCTTTCCTTGAGGTTGCTGAAAGCACCTTCCGCTCCAGAGCCGATAGCGTGGGCCTTTACAGGCCAGTACGTGCCGGAAGGTTCCGAGAAGAAAAGCTGCGGGCCCGACTCATCCACGCCAGCGAGCAGTAGTGCCACACCAAACGGACGGCTCATCTTCTGTTTGTGGTTGTTCTCGTCCGAGCCTTCGCCGAAGCTCAAGGCCAAGTCACAAATGGACTGCGTCAGGGCTTGCACCCGCACAGGCTCATTGTACGAGAACCAGTGGTTCGTGGCTTCAACACGTGCGTGGTCGATCAGCGTCTGTGCGTCAGCAGTGATACCGCTCATGGCGGCACCCACGTGACGGTCCACTTCCATGATCTTTTCAATACTGCCCGTACACATTCATTCCACCACGACAGACAACGAGCACTATTAGTGCTTCTACTATATGACATGTCAATTTTGTTGACAACTCCATAGAGTTATCACTGAAACCTTATTCAGTCACTGACCTGCTCGGCTCCAGTAGAGGCGACGTCAGTCGCTTCTCCACAGCAAGCACGACCCCCTCCTTGGAGCGGATACCAATAGCGGTAGTGCCCATCTACATCAATAACACACGAATAAGAGGAAACGGGACGTCAATGGAATCCGGTCTTTACTCATTGAGTGAGCTGACAGACGGATAGACGCACTTTAATGGCCTCGATGGCGTACTCGACTTGGAAAAGTCGCCCCTCAGGCGAGAACGTATTCACGCCTCGGTCATACTCAGTGCTGTGAGCATGAGAGGAAGACACGAATGATGTCAGTGGAAGCCTTCGTTAGTGTGTAGTGGACGCAGCTGCACGCACTTGGTCTGGAACATCGTCGCTTTAAGGCCTTGGCTTCTCCTCCCCTCTGGATCTCTGGCCGTCGAACTGTGAGCGACAAAAGGAAGAGGCTGTTCTTCACGGTACTGCGTCTGGATTTTATTTTATTTTATCTCATTTTTATAGTGACACGTCAGTCGACTGAGCGACTCGAATTCGAAAGTTGCGATGTGTCGATGTGGAGTCAGAAGTATCAACCATCGGTCCAGTCTGACGTAACAGCAGAGGAATAGTGAGCAGACAGACATATCCCAACTCGCTGAAATTGTAGAGACCGGATCGCTGAATGGACTTGAGCAGATCATTGATGCCCTTCGATTCAACTATTGCGTGTGGGATCAGGTAGATAAATGCATCTTTGTGATTCAAGCCATTGTTAGGTGTGAAAGCATCGAACGACGTGATCCCAGGTTGGGTTCCGCCCCGCGCAGGATGGGGCGGGATAGAGCTATCGCGCGTCCCATCTTGCACAGGACAGGATGGGACGTAGGATACTGCGGGACGAGATCATTTTACGCTAGATGCATTTCGTTACGACCATATCTGCATAGTCGCCTCTATATGCGCTGAGGGTACTTACGAATGAGAATAGTTAGACGGTAAAATACTTCTCAATGTGATAAATGCTGACCTGCTACAATAAGGGTAGAAGCTCAATGCCTTATCCACTCAATCCCAACCGGAGCTGCTGATGGTAGACTCATGCAAGAATGGCTTTTTTAAATGTGGTGGGAACGAAATAACGAAGGTTTACCGCATCAACATCAACGCAGTAGAGTTCTGATGAGCAGCAAAATCTTGAAGCATGATCTTGGCCAAAACATTATAGCTTTTCGATTGCTCGTAGACGATTTTGACGTTTGGTAGAATAGTCTACTTAACGACGCTTTCGAGAAATCGAGTTACTACGAAAAGAAACTCACCTTTGCCAAAGATTGAAGTCGCGAGGCCCCAGTAGGCTAAGGGTGTTCCTCGGGTCGTCGCTAGGGACCAACCAAGCAACAATAACGCCTAGATGCAAGACTTGGCGGAAAGATTAATTAATGACAATGAATACTGAATTTGACGATCAATGCATGTAAAATAGATGACACTTTCACTTTGTGCCCTCTTGATTCCCATTTAATTTTTTTTGATCGTAGAAAATTAGGGAGATCTTGACGTTATTTACATAGATAATTACAGAATGCGGGATGTGCAGGACGCGCAGGATGGGACCGACCCCTTCCCGTTTCGCGCGGGATGGAATGCAGGATCCCGCAGAATGGGACGTTGTGGGACGGAGCCCTGGTCCCAAAATCATTTTCTAATGCCGATCAGCGATTGGAAAATAAATTGGGAATAGGGCTCCGTCCTAACATCCCCGCTGTCGACTTCAAACCGGGTTCGTGAAGACTACAAATTGAGCCACGATGCTAACGAGAACAAGCAATCGATTAATATGAAGCGTCAATGCTAGCTTGATATTTATGAAGAGCAGACTAGTAGTTGCAAGGTACGCCATCCGTGTTTCGAGGGTATGCCACCCGCGTGTTGCAGATTGTGTCTTGCCTCTGCTGTTTGCAAAGTGGTGTGTTGTCCTGATGCCACTGGCAACCTTCCACAGACATAACGTGTGACCAATAACCACCGTTATGTGAAGTGCCCGATGATGTCATTTTTTGTAAAAGCAAATGGATGCAGCTTTCACACGCCACACCGTCGTATTCGCTGCATCTGTAGACCGAGTGTGAAAAATGTTAACGGCGCATCCCGACACAATAAAAAATACGAATGGAGAGAGTTGCTCGAGCGTGTTGGTATCGCATGCGGCTGGCGTTTAAACCGTACATTATCCGGGTGCGAGAGCAAGGGACTGCTTGATCTCTTGTTCATAACGCGAAAAGCTGCTCGTCCGATAGTATTTAAACAGAAGCACAGCGGTATTACTCGTCGCTATGCAGATAGTGAGCACGTGTTTGAACGATTCGACAAGTATTGATGCCTACAGCGTGAGTTGCAAGCATCTATCGCAAGTTCTCAAACTCGCAACAAAGCCCCTTAGTTACGTCGTGACGGTTGTAGCCCATTCGGGGATAACTCGCCGGACTCGTTCCACATGTCAAGATGAGCAAACAGGGCACGTTTTTCGAGATGGATGAACGTTCGTCGTCGGTATGTCACAAGTAGTAGATTGGCCTGTCTCCACGCTGGCAACCGTCGATTGCGTTCATCGGTCTCGGGTCAGGCGCGGTCATATTCACTGGTAGCATCAATATTTATGCTGAAACTCGTACGCGTAAACGGGTGGCAGTAGACCGCCGAGTAACGAAACACGCACTCAGATCGTGCCATGCACGTCAGTCAATACTTGCACCGAACGTAATGGAATTTATCGGCGTAAGCCAATATCGCAATAGCTGTCGGTCACTGCTAAACGTGAGTGCCGACAGTCTCATTATAAATGCAACATGAACAAGCTGCTTGTGTGCTCGCGAGAGCGTGAGTATTCGTACGGGCATAAACAAGCTGCTTGCGTGCCCGCGAGGGCCGATCTGTTGGCATGCCCATTGCATCCTCAATGGACGCGATGTCGTCAACCGTGCCAATACAGGAACAGGCTGGCGTGCCTACGCAAACGTTTGTTTGTTTATCACGGCAAAGTAACTTACCCACCCAGCTTCTTGCTGACGTGATTCCTTATATCAGGATCCATAGAGTTAAACGAGAGACTGGTGCCGCCTTGCAAGGGTATTAACATAGTTGTATGATGCCACATCAACGTATGCGCATGCGATGCCACAGTTTCTGCTGCTGAACGACACGGTTCGAGCACAAGCTGTCGAAAAAGTTCACCTTCATATAGCCGAAGGTTTGCTGCTTGAATTGTCTTCCATCTTGGCAAAAGCTGCTGAGAAAATGCGGTGGACTGTCGAGGAATTCGACGCACAGCTCGTAACGTCCCGTATGTACCCCTCATCCCAAATAACCCGTTGACTGTGAGCTCCCCACAGAGAATTGAGCTTTCCTGGCTGTAGTTTATTTACGTCACCAGCGCGTCACCCCACATTTGCTTACTCATAGCTCAATCTCGCTTATCCTCGGGTGTTTGACAAGTAAGCAGCGGCCGCTTGTGGTTCGAGTCGTCACCTTTGTTCACCGACAACATTCGTTGCTCAAGGACCTCGATGGTTGTCGATAAGACGCTGATGCGCAACCTGGAAAACGTTCTCTCGACTCAAACGATCGAGTCCGCGAGCTCGAACATGCGTGAAGAGCAGCCGCAGGATAGTGACAATTGCATCAAGTGCGTGACCCCGGCACCGCCGTCTTTCAACAAGTTGCTCACTGAAGCGGTTTCCAAGGAGGATGCTGCGCACAAGATCCAGATATTCCTGCGGTATCACCTCAAGCTGCGACAATGCAGCTGCACATCAACCGAGCACACAACTTCGACCACGTCTTCAATGGACGCACTGTCCGTGCCGCAAGAGTTGGACGAGGACCATTTGCAGTACGAGATCCTGCTCTGGTACGGCTCAAGTCTTGGCTCTCTTGGCTTCATTTCGTGTGGAATCACGGGCTACCCATGTGTTGAAGTGGCCGAGGGCAACGACTCATTGCCTGGGATGTGGAACCTCCGTGAAGGTGATTACCTCATTGCTATCAACGAGCGCAGCACGAAACGCAACGCTGTGCCGTTCAAAGCGGTCATGCAGATTCTCGATAGCGGCGTGAGGCCGGCCGTGCTGAGGTTCCGAAGACCTGCTTCGCACGAGTTACAGAGCCTTACGACGAGACCGCGACGGCTTTCCTCGATCACACGCACAGATCTACAAAAAAGTCGAGAGCGACTCGAGCGGTCCTTGAGCTACGTCATTTGGAGAGAAGAGGATGGGCCGCTTGGAATGAGCTTGAAACCTGAAAACGGCAAGTCCTACCCAGTTGTCACGGCCATGAACGAGTCCGGCGTAGCAGGTCGCGGTGGCACTGGAAAGTACGGCATAGTGAGTGTGGGCGATCAGCTGTTGACGATCAACCACCACGACGTTTTCCGCTTGGGGTTCAAGAAGATGTGCCAAGTCATGCAATTTGCTCCAAAACCGCTGGTGCTCACGTTCCGACGCACGTCACCGGCATGCACGGAGCCTCGTTCTCTCGACTTGTAACTCGAGTGCGGTCTCCAGTCATGCTCTGTACTCTTCGATCCATAGAGTTCTGGTTGTCACGTGTGCGTGCCCGTCGACAGTCCTATTTAGTAACCAGATACTGTACAATATGTCATGAACTCGTTTCTGATCAATAATTAGTGGCTCAAGAAGTCTTCCTGCTAGCCCTCTATGCCTTCTCTATGGATCGTGCCTTGTTCCTACATGGATCACGACCTCCTTTCCCCGAAACAAATGATCACTGCCGTCATATTGTCCGTGGATCCTTGTGCTTTGGCTTCGTCGAGCAACTTGTTGCCTATCGTGACCGACTTCTCGCCCTCAGCGAGATGCTTGGCCACAAACTCCGTCAGCTCCTCGTCCCGAAAGACGTCCGTAATGCCGTCGCTTACTAGCATAAGGATCGCGTCATCGGACGCGATTTCTAAGGACACAATGTGCGGTGCACTCGTAATGAACTTCTTCTCGTCGGCCTGGCCGAGCGCCCGAGTGACTGATATGGACCCGGCCACACGCTTATTAACGATAATGCCATTGAGCGCACGTATCCGCTCCACCTCATCTTGGTTTGTGGCCTTGTGGTCGACCGATAACCGCAACGTCTGGCCGTCGCAGCAGAAAATGGCACGGGAGTCACCAACATTTGCAACGTAAAAGGTCGTCCGGCCATTGAATCGACGGATGAGACACGTGACAGCGGTCGATCCGCTGTCAGACGACTCGTCAAAGTCCTGCAGCTCCTCGTCGAGGGCTGCGAAGGCCTCAACGTAGCAGCTCTCGACCTCTTCGTTTCTTAAGACGTCGACGCTAACGTCAGAGCTTTTGTCGCTGCAGCTAGAGGTCGTTTCATCACTCCGGTTGCGGTTACTCTTGCCTTCAAGCGATTGGCGTCTGCCCTTCGTTGTGTCGTGCTTGACCTGCATGAGCTCTGCGAGTTTCCAGTGAAAGTGTTTCGCCGCGTACTTGGCACAAAAGTCTCCGCCGTGACCGTCGTACACACCAAAGAAAGAGCTCACGGCCGGATCGTCTGGAAAAGCTCTGAACTTGAGGATGGCAACACACGCGTCTTCCATATGCTTCCGGAATTGACAGTTCTGAGTCGACACTGCAGCGTAGTCCCGGACAAAAGGACTTGGCAGCTCTTCGTCGAAGGTTCGAGTCCAGGCTGGACTCGGTCTCTGCTCCTCTGGGGCTGCTGGGGCCGATGGTATTGTCGCAACACATTGACATCGATCCTGCGGTCGGACCTGCACCCGAACGCACATGGACGAGTGCGTGTCGGTCAACGAGCTGCAATGACGCAAGTGATCAGTCAGCTGGCACTTGTGACGGGGTGTGACGGACGATAAGACGCGGCTGTGGTCGCGCGAGCACGAGCAGGAGCTCCCCATGGACGAATGGAGAGTACCCTACCGCAAGGACGGTCTGTGATGGATAATAGAGTGGTGTCGAGCGGCAATGGAGGGCGAAGGAGGCTGCTTGAGACGGCCAGGGACCAGACTTCCCCCCACAACACACAGCGTCATGGCGTCTACTGGAAATAATGGGGAAAGGGGTTCCGGGTAGTTGATTTATTTTTCGTCCGTGCGGTTTTTTCATTCCGAGTAGAACCGGGAGAGAGCTGCGGTGAGAGATAGCACAGACGGAGGGGAGGGAGCATAGGAAGAACGACGGGGGAGATGGTTGTTTTGCCGAAGGAGGTTGCAGCGGGAAACAATGAAGGCGAAAGGGCTCAGTGTTTTGCTGTGGGTGGTGCTTGCACGATCAGAGAGACAGAACATCGTTAGGGCACATCGATTTCTTCCGGAAGGTGTGTCGCATGGGGATCCAATGTTGTGGACTGGAGCGTTTGACCCGTACGGGCGCCGTGAGGGAAGCAGCCGGGCAACGATTGAAGTCATGTACTGTCGAGTGCACTGACTCATGAGTCTGTGTCCAGCGTTTCATAGATTATGACTGGCAGTACAAATGATCATCTCTCTACGGGCAGTCGAAGCGACTCGTTGTATTGCGATAGGCACTTCCAGGTACCGCAATTTTACTAGGTTTTAGTCTTTCGAACCGCCCCATCCCCAGACAGCCTGACAACTCTTGATTCGTGACGACCACTTCGGGCCATAATTCCACGCCCTGAGAGCAAACTTATGAGTAAACACCCTCGCGTCTACTTAGCACGACACGGCTAAAGCAAGGTATCTGTCGCACGTACCGGACGGTCGACCAGCTTTATTTGTTCTGTCCGAGCAATGATAACTTTGGTACTAGGAGGGCTTCTGAACTCGAAATATGATTCAACGTTATGAACTGATGCATAATTACTCATCAGGAGTGATGTGCTGGGGGTACAATCACGAGGAAACAATCGCCGACCAAGCGAAACCCGAAGTACGACAAACACTGCGTCGACAGCTACAAGCTGTAGCGGTCAGGGAACACGGGTTCAACCGCGACGGAGACGACTGCATTTTCTCGACTAGTGTAACGGGGTAGCCGGTTACATGATATTGACACCAAACGGTGTCAATAGAGAGATTGTCTAGCGTAACAGTCTTCTGCCAGTATTACCCGAGATCGGTAACAATGAAGGAAAATTATTCCCTTAAGATAATATTCATGCGCTGCTCAAAAATCGGTTGATAAAATACATATTAACCAAGATTACCACTAGAGTTAATCTCACTATCAGCACCATCCTAGGTCAAAAGTCTCATTATCAGCACCAGTCCCAAAATCAGCACCAGCCAATAACAAATTCAGTGTAGATCACACTACTTGGTGCTCCCATACACAAGAAACGTAACGTGCAATGTGCGCCACGAGTTTAAGTGCTTAACAACAGCAAGATTATCAAGATGTCAACAGAAAGGATGGCGTTTAATTTAGGTGTAAGTTATAAGTTAACTAATTTGGCTCATGAAGAAATGTTCCAGTCCGAGGTTGCTGCAGACAGGGTTTTGAAAGACTACTGTTTTGAGTAGATTTGGCAGTGCAGGGTTTAAAAAGTGGTGGCAATAGCAAGACGTATGTGTGCCCACAGGATCGATGCCCATGGGAGGTTCGTTCGTCAAAGAGAAAGCGGATGGGTGCAGCTTCAGGGCACTACATTTCCACCTAAAAGGTATATACGCCGACGTGTGCCTGGCAATTGCCAAGCCATCTTCTCAACAAATTAAATGGCTTCACAGCTATGTTATTACGATTCAGCAGTGTTGTATGCGACCCCAAAGAGTAAGAGTGAAACAATCTTGATTACATTAAGCGAAACAATCGATATGATTTACGTGTAGCTTACAAGCTGATTACGACATCGTAGCTGAAGTTGACATTATATTATCATAGTCCTTGTTTAAAGCGCTATCGGTTGGTAACCAAGGGCTGATTTCGTCGAACGCGAAGAATTCGCGTGACTGAGCAGCTTTAAGCACGATACTTCGCGGCGGTTAGTCATTCTGTGCTGTAGACGCACCACATTGTCCAGCACTACAGAAGGAAGCACTAGACGTGACCTTGAGTCCACTGTCCCTTTTTTGGTTCACACAAGAACCTACAAAACACAGAATACAGACCACAGTATATGCAGCATTAAACCTCCAGCGTGCAGCCGAAAAAACATGTCACGTGCAACAGCTCTAATCCAATTGCTTTTGTCCATAAATTAGCATCACATGCTCAGCACTCTAGGTAATTGTTTTATTTTTCTGTTCAAGAGTAAAAGTGCCGTTTAGTGGTTTGTTCCTTTTAAAAGCTCACAAAATCCACAAAAGCCCACGTACAAATTCATCGATATCACCTTTGTACTTCCCGCTTCTTGGTCCGAAAACGGCTTTGCGTACTCAGTAATTGTGCTAACCTGGTAGCATTCCCACAATGACAACAAATACAAAACACCATACACACAATTAGTAAGCTTAGCATATGCGATATTCACAACGCTTCGCAATTTAAAATTACCTGAAGTGACTTGTTGGACATCACAGCCGTGACCACATCCCGCGACACTAGCTATCCAAAGCATAAATCTTTCCGACTCGCGTCTGCGTCCTTGCATGCATAATTCATCAAGTACAGAGCATAATATAGCGTCAGGTTAGTTTGTGAGCTACCTTGCCTACAAGATCTGATTGTGTTTGATAACTGCTATCGAATCGTCATCATAATTTAAGCTCTACCTTTCATTCACGAGCCAGTCGAGTGTTTGTTCCAGCATAAACATATCATGCGCACCATCCGATCGTATGGGACCTAAATAGCATGATAAAAAGCTTGAGCATAAGCAAGTCTCCAGATCCAGCGTCCCCAAGGCCTCAAACTTTTGCGGGATCGTACATCGGGCCAATGCCGTACGTAATCTTGTAACGTAAGACCCGAGATCGCAAGTTGTACATCACACTGGTTTACTCTGCGTCAGTTCCTCACCAGACTATGCGCAACATCATGTAACATACCACACATGTTTCTGTCGTCACGCATGTCCCGCACACGCATCGCACGTCGCGTCGAATCGCAAATCGCATTCGCCAACCATCTAGCACTTCTTGAGAAAGCGATAGTCACAGGTTCAGTTTTTAAAACAAATCTAAGGTGATCTACACTAAGTTGTTTATTGGCTGGTGCTGATTTTGGGACTGGTGCTGATAATGATACTTTTGGCCTAGGATGGTGCTGATAGTGAGATTTATTCTTACCACTGATCGCTGCTAGACGCACGTATGGTAACGGGTAGCCCATTTCATGATGTTGACACCAAACGGTGTTGATTGGAATATTGTCAAGCATGACAATATTCTACCAATATTATCCGAGATGGATAATATTGAAGGAATATTATCCCATTTTAGGATAATTTTCATGGGCTGCTCAAGAATTGGTTGATATAAGACATATCAACCAAGATTACCACCAATCACTGCTAGACGCGCGCAATAACTGGTGAGCAGGTTGTCGTCATACGACGGCGTAGATTAATGTAGTTAGATAACGACTAAAGTGATGTTGATAGCTTAACTGTACTAAATACAATTATCTTTTTGCCCTTTACTCAGCTTAGTTGTTGAGTAGATTAACTTCTTCTGCACGTACTAGTGTACGTGAAGTTTCGCGGTACCCCAAACGAAGGATGCCCCGTTACACCTGGTAGCACTTCTTAGTCCGTCCAACGGCTACTTAGTGTCCGTCCAACATGAACATGTTAGACGTAGAAGACGACAGCTTTTACGTCACACGTGAAGGCTACTACTCGTATCTGAGTGAATCAAAATGGGAGGTAGTCGGCCGCATGAGTGTACTCATGGGCGAACCCGCCATCAGTGTTGTGTTGGAGTCTCAAAGCAGAGACCAGCAACATGGTGCTATCAATAAGTTCCTACAAGGGGAACTTGCCGTCAAACGACAGAAGATAGTCTTGTTACAGCAGCAAGCCTCTCATCAGTAGATGGGTGGGCCGACACACATGCGTCGACCCGAAACCTTAAAGATTGGTATCTCAAGATACAAGGGAACCAACGAAGATTCTCTTTTGAGATGGTTCGTCGGGTTAGACGATGCCACCAGAGCCCGTCACATCGAGGGTGACGAAATGCAAGTCACCTTCGCCCTGTCAAATTTGACAGGACAAGAAAAGACTTGGGCCTTAGGGCTCAAGCTTCACGATCCAAACGTGTTTGAGTCGTTGGAGATCTTGAAGTCTCGGCTCAAAGAAATGTTTGAGCCGCCAAGAGCCGAGTTCAGAGCACGCTCTGCACCCTTGAGGCTCAAGCAAGGTAAGCGTGACGTGCACGCTTACCCTGCTCGTCGCTGATGCTCTTTCGCGTCGGCCCGATTTCGAGCCACCTTGCGCTCTGTCACGTTATTGAGTACGGACGAGAAATTTTCCGTGTAGTCAATGCCACACTTCTGCTTGAAGACTTCGGCAACTAGGCCCCACTTGTCCTTTTCGATATCTTCATCCGCTTTGCGCTTGATCTTAAATACCCACTTGGTACCAATTACATGCTGTCCATTGGGCAGCTTGGTAGCACGTATTACACCGCGGAGTAGCATTGACTTATTTTCTGCTTGGATGGCTTAGCGCCAGTGCACTTGGTCAGGCCCACCGCATCCTATAATTTTGTTGGCCGTGTGGTGAAGCAACGTTTCGGAAATGATTGGCTTAAGTGTCGAGGAGCCGGATGGATATGAGACCTCGCGGCCGGGAAAGGGACCAGAGAACTGAAAGTTGCAAGAAAAGATTGGCCGTTGGGTCCAACCGTGACGAGTGGTTAAGGCTACCACTAACGGGGTCACACCGACCGGCTGTACCAGTTAAACGGTACCGATATGGATCGTTCTCAAACCACTCGCCGGTCGGCCTGGTCGCCCAAGGTGGACCTCGGTTCCCCGTAGGCTGACCTGTCCACCTATCAGCCGACCTGGTCACTCAGAGGTCGACGCGCTACCTCAAGGTCTGGTGGCTTCCAGCCACTCATCACTGCGAACCCAGGTGCGAGGCAAAAATAGAGTAAAGGAGTTTAAAGAGTAGGATAACATTAAATACTGATCAATTTGAGATATAAGTAGCACAACGTGTCGTGCGCTAAGAAATTTGTAAGTCTACCGACCTGTTCGGGCCAAGGATCTGTTTGGCCCACCCGTCGAATAGACAGATGTCAGTAAGACACAAGCGTAAGTAGAACCCCAGGAAGTACATTGGCCTGTTGGCTCGTAGAGTAGCCCTCCCCCCCAACCCAAGCCAGCTATAGGAAGCTGTCTCCGTACCCTAATGGTAATGGAGAAGACACATAAAGGCCAGGCGGGTAACACCCCTGATACAAGCAAAGGCCAGGCGCCACCAGCACCTGAGACAACTGGTTATGTAAGATCACTCTCGACCGAGTCGATCGAGTGGCCGCCTACATTGGATCCCTACTGAAGCATGTCCGCTTGCCCCCCCCCAGGTCGACCTCCATCAAGGCCGACGTCTACATCATCACCAAGTGCTCCAAAGAGTGAAACCCACCAAGCCGACGGGTTCACAAGGTGAGTCAAGGTCCGCAATCGGCATCGGGGTACCCCCTTTGACATTCAGAAGTCCAACACAGTGAGTGGTTTGGGGTCTTGTCAAACGTTTTGACAACCCACTCCACCACAATGGTGCGTGTGCCCGGATCTTCGGAAGACGCTGGATTTAACATCGAGTCTCAAGATGAAGATGACGTTAAGTTCACGATATAATCGAAGCTTATGAAACCTCTGGAAGATCGACCGCCAGTGACACAAGAAGACAAAAACGAAGAGTCGAAGGACCAACCGGGTCTTGAGAGGGGTCCGGTCAACAAGGTCAGGGTTTCAATTATTGCAGAAAATTTAAACACCCTACCTATGTCCTTGCTGAGGACGCCTTGTTTCATGATACCTATCGTGAACTGGTGGACTATCAACCAACGGTGAAAAACAAAGCGTTATGGCCCCTAAAACAACAAGCCCCTTTGGTAGTTAGGTCCAAACCGAAGAAGATTAGTGTGAAAGAGCCGGGCGACACCAATTTGATAGGTCCCGACACCTCAGAACCATCGATGGAGTCGGATCATCGGCCGACGAAGCAATCTAGAAAGCTATGGTCCCCGAAACCAAAGCACCCGACGGTCGCCAAGTCCAAGCCAAAACAAAACGAAGACGAAGACGCCGGTGGACACGAAGTCGGGGGGCCCTGCCCAAGCAGGACCGCCAGTCTGATTAGACAATGCTGTGATCATCGCCTACCACCGATGCAAGCTGGAAACCCTCTTGACAAGCGACCCCGTCTCGAAAACATTTAAGATCCTGCTGCTTGGACAGCTAGGGGGACTGGCGTCACCCCTACCACGACTTGGACGTTCACCGAGGCGGTCACTTTGCTGGTAGTCATCCTCCGCGAGGCGTTATGGCTGCAGGAAGGTGCGAGCTAAGCACTTTAACCGACCTAGGTTACAACAGCATCAAGAGCATGTTGGAGAAGTTGCACAAGCGATTGGCGATTCTAGTTGTGACCACCACCAGACACAACATCGTACAACCATCGCAACCAATACCGACGCCGTCTCGCGACAGCCAGATGACGCCTTAAGACTTCGAAGCTCAACCCTGACCACTTAAACAGCTCGACAACTCGAGGGTGATGCGCCATCCCCCAAAACCGACTCTCCCGCCATGGATCCAATACGCGGATGAGCGGTCGTCACACGGTTCGTCTGCTCTTGACCAGTACGACCGGATGCCACTAGGACCGCAGGAGTAGCGATGCTCTAGGATTGTGCAAGGGGTGGAGCTACCAATCAGTTTGAGCACGAAACAGCGACACGTGGACACCCAAACATCCGAGCGCCTGATAGGGAGAATTTTCAGCATCGGGAATACAGCACGGTCGCTACCAAAACTTTACACCACCACGTGACGAAGATGCTGGGGGGGGATGCGCCAACCAACTCGGTAGGTAACTTGTAGACATAGTTAGACACGGCGTTGGCACGATTTCTACAGGAACGCCAGGTACAACGAGGATACCAAGATGGAAGGGAGACCGCAGAGGCACAAGGGCGCAGGAAACAGGGTCTCAACGAGCACCGTGAATCCGAACGCAAGCTTGTATACAACGTACTATGACTGACGTGGAGATGGATTAAGTCAGTACGTGTGATAACAACCCAGACGACATGAACTTGGATAGACCACTAGCGAGGATGGCTTCAGCTACAGTAGGAAAAATGCCCAACATGGTCCCTCGCATTGAACTTGCAGTGACACCGGACCTCAAGGAATTCCACGGAAGAGATCAAGACGAGGAGCGAGTACGAAGTTAGGTGACCACAATGACAACCGCGTTCACGAGAGATCAAGCGCCCGAAGATGAAAAGTGTCTTGTCTTCGGTTGATTGATAACTGGAATAGCTCAGAACTAGTATTGCCAACTGGGTCGCTCGATTTGATCAAACTAAAAGGATCTCCTATTCAATTTCCCATTGCAGTTCTGCGGTTTGGGAGTGCCACTTACTCGCCAATACTGCCATGCGAAGAAGAATTCAGATGGGGTCACCTTTGGACTATTCGTACCGATTTAATGTGATTGGACTCAAGGCGAATTTTAGGATCAAGGACGGACCGCCAAAGGTACTAAAAAGAAACACGTCGAACACTACAACACGACTTTGGACGACCCGAATATGGCGGAATAGCTCACGATATTGCGTCTGGCGGGTGTGGACGAATTGGAAGAAGTGCCGAGAGCCAGGCAGAGGACGAGATCGCGACGATGTAAGGTTTTCTTTGGAGCAAGCAAGTTTCAAAAAAAGGCACCCGTACTATCCGACCTACCAAGAGAAGTAAACAGTCGGTCGGTTGATGCAGTTCAAGCGACCATAGAAGAGTCGAGTTCTGACGATTTGAGCTTGGACGGCTCAACTAAAGATGATTTCTTGAGCTGAACACAATTGATGGCGATGGAAGGACAGAAGGACACGGGTGCGAAGACCTCAAGGGGTCGACCGATTTGGGAGGCCGATCATCATCGTCACCATGAAGGTGACCAGGGATTTTGCCCGACGTCGTCCGCTCAATACCAGAAGTGCGCTCAGTGTGGATCTCGAAAGCATGGAGATTTTGATTGCTGGAAATTACTCACGTGTGACCGCTGTGGGAAGATGGACACTCAACGGATCGTTGTTTGTTTGTTTGAAAGACAAGTGAAGAGGCCCACGAGGCTGGAAAGTGCCAGATGGAAGGTTTTTATAACTTGATCTGTCAGTGGTACAACCCGACCTATCTCGCCGAGATGCTGCCGGAGAAGGAGGAGAACATGATAAACTAGAACGTATGCCAGATTTGATTCTGGTTCGAGCCGAGCATTCTAAATGTCTTGTCTTTGCATATTGTGGAGGAGATCTTTAAAGAAAAAATATGAACTACACGGGAAAAGAGTTGCTAGAAGGATACCACAGCTAAAAAGGTTGGGAATATATCGAAAAGTATGATCAACTCAGTGGTTCGTGTTCCTTGTCTTCATGACTTTAATGGCTTCGCTTAGATAAATGCAGTGATGAGATTGGACCTACTACCAATAGTATTTAGGGGCTATTGATACCTCATGCCCCTTCGAAGTGGTTCAAGCAGGCCAAGGCCTCTGGAAAAGTCATTAACGATCGCGCAAACTTGTTGCTTGATAGTGGTCCCGAGATATCAATTTTGGATATCTCCTTAGCTCGTAAGATAGGTTGCCAGATTGACGAAAGTGCAAGACAAGAATGTGTTAGTATTGGGGAATCGATATATTCCACAGAAGGGCGAACTCGATGTAAAATCACCCTGAACGGAAACTTGGTATATATCTTTCAGGTATGGGTCGGCCCTCTAAAAGGCCAAGGCGCTTTTTTTGGATGGACTTCATGATCCCAGCTGGTATCGGTTTAGATCTGGGGAATTGATCAGTATGTCTCCTGGTGAAGTTCGCATACAACTGGCCGCCGACGAATGCTATACGGTGGCAGAGTGACCTACGTGAAGCTAGGCCAATTCGCACAATTACCTGTTGGAGGGTATGTGGAAGTACCCCTGAAAGGATCAACCTTAGAAAAGAGTGTGCTACGGGTGACAAGAGGAAAACGGTGGGTTACTACAGTGATCCGAGGGGTAGGCCGATGTCAATTATTGAAGGTGACTAATGTCAGAACACATTTTCTAAAGCTACATGACGACACCAGGATTGGCACAATACTAGCGAAGGATTAAATGCTGAGGAAATTAAGGTTCGTCACTGTGGGCTCTCGAAGATACGCTAAGTGATAAAATTTGGCATACGAAGCTACCACCGACCAGAACGGCCATCAATCGGACCCGATGGGGGAAGACGAGGGCCATTAGTGGACAAACCCTAGTATGATACTTCATTACATATTCTGCAGCTACCGAAGCGGATCACCCCGGTGATGGACGTTTCTCCCCAACAGCAGACAGTGTAGGAATTACCAACATGCGAAGAAACGACCCCCGCCACTTAACCTCTAGAAGCCGCCGGCCCTCAGCCGATGGAAGCA